CCAGACTAATACCCCGACTAAAGCTTCCCCACTGCTCCAGAAAAGACTGACAAGGGGCTTTTCTTTCTCTATAAATAAATTATGATTTGCCCCATTTAAAAAAAAAAAAAAAAAAAAGTTATTATTATTATTACAGTCGGTGTTAGAATGCCTTAAAAATATAAGTCTAACACTTTAAAAGTGAATTTTTTAAGCTTTGTTTCTACTATCATTTATTGTTACTTGTTATTTATTGTTACTTTCGCCAATTCTGGGCAGTTCAAAGTTAATAAAGTCCACTCACATCCTTGTACTTTAGGCTTTGTAGCCTGAGGAGTATTTGCTCTCTGGCTGTGTTCATAATTCATGCCTCTCTGTGGAGCATAACTCACTAAGTGTGGATCAGAGCACCAGTGATAAATCTCTTTATGTATCCTCCACAGATTCCACTATACTGCATGTTTTTTATTGCGTGGGTGTCCAAAACAACCCTTAGAAGATTTATTTATTTATTTCATGGATATAGAGAAATATTTATAGTTGACCTTTATGATATGTTTCTCTGATCATATGTGAAGATGTATCTTTGTGTCACGTAAGGCTAAGTGTATTGCGCAACAGTGCAAATGTATAAAAATACGTCTTCATCAGTGTCGAGCACAAACTTCCTCTTCATTTGTCTGCTTTCTTTGAAGGAGGCGGTAGTGCTTGATCGTCTTCTTTCATGATGACCACGATTTCTTGTAGACTACTCTCGTTTTAATTAATTTATTTTTTTATGTGTGCAGCTCATCAGGGCAGGGTGACGGTGGTGCTGTTTGTGCTGGAGATGGAGTGGCTGCTGAGCACGGGGCAGGATAAAAGCTTCACCTGGCACTGCTCAGAGAGCGGCCAGCAGCTGGGGACATATCGCACCGCAGCCTGGGTCTCAGGACTACAGTATCCTTCTGCACCCAGCTTTGTCTTTGGAGTGGATCGAGTGTGAAGTGACGAGCCAACTTTGATTCTTTAGCCTTTGTCTTTTTATTTTGATGACACCGTCTATTTTTAGGTCAGTGCAACATAAGACGGGGCAATTGAAATTAGCCTCCAGTTAGTTTCTACTAATGGGAAGGGCTAACAATAGGCATCAGTCATGCTGTTGTCAAGGAAACGGTCTGAGTAGGTTTCTGTAATGGCCACATGAAAGGCTGTGTGAGTGCTCAGCAGCGGCACTGATCCATACCAATGAGCCTGCTATTAGGTCATCGCACTGCTGGTATCCTCTTAGCATCAACATGCTAACCTGTCTACATAACATGGCAAGAGGAGATTCAGAGCAGCGGCAGCAGCGGCGTTTATTTGTTCAGGGATTTTAGACATAATGAAAAAGGAACCGTGTGGAAAATGAAAAGTCTAAATTTAAAAGTTTTGCTGGTTTTTTTTGAAAAATTGTTCAAAAAATTGTTGTTCAAATGGCCGTCATAGTGCATGACGCCTTTTAACCAAATCTGCATTTATTTGAACTAAAGCAAGCCTTTTGATACTGTGCAGGCGGCTGAAAGCTTTTTATTTGGAAACAACAAATAAAAAATCTGAGGCCATGCTTCTCAGCCGGAAAAGGGTGGAGTGCCCACTCCGGGTCGGGGATGAGTTCCTGCCCCAAGTGGAGGAGTTCAAGTATCTCGGG